TATGGGAGACGACCTGCAAATGTTCTTGACATATTTAGCGATACAAGTGATGCTTCCTCTCACATTAAAATAGTAAATCCGAAAAAAAAAAAGTATAGGTATCACTGTCAATAAAACAATATTAAAAACTAAAAAAAAAAAATTGGAAATACATATTACATAAAATGAAAACGTGGAGGAAAGAACGGTGGATGTAAGATAGAACCTTCCCCATAGTAAAACTAAGAACGAGTGGCGTAAATGTCATGAGATGGGAGTGACACTGAAATTGTAATCCAAACAAACTCAACAAAAACACAACATGTCTTCCTCGTCCCGTTGTTGTTGTTGTTATCTGTAAACACTTAACACCAATGTCTCTCTCTATCTCTAGCTTTTACACTCTCACCACCGCGCTTCCCTCTTTCAGATTCAAAGTCTCCGCCATGGTTTCCACCACCACTAGAGTTATTCCCGCCGTCATTGTCGGCGGTGGAAGGGTCGGAAAGGCTTTACAAGATATGGGACTAGGTCAAGACATTCTCGTAAAACGTGGAGAATCAATTCCTCTTGATTTTGAAGGTCCTATTTTGGTTTGTACTAGAAATGATGATCTTGATTCCGTTCTTCAATCCACTCCTCTTTCCAGATGGAACGGTATAATACTACACTATCTTCTTTTCTTTCTTTCTAACTATTTCATGTTTTCATAAGCTATTCTGAAAGAGCTTATAAAAATAAGCTGAAAATAGTTTTTATATATATATATATATATGTCACACAAGTGTTTATGTTTGTGTTAGTAAATAAATTCAAATAAGTCGATGTAAATGTTATAGTGGATTGGTGTGGCAGATTTGGTGTTTTTCCAGAATGGAATGTTGGAACCATGGCTTGAGAGTAAAGGTTTGAAGGAAGGGAACCAAGTGTTGGCCTATTTTGCAGTGTCGAAACGCGGAGAGCGCCCTATTGATGGTAAGACTGATACCAATCCTGAAGGATTAACAGCTGCGTATGGCAAGTGGTCTTTGGCTGTTTCTGAAAGATTGCTAGCCGGAGGCCTCTCTTGCAAGGTAGTATTCATATTTAATTTTTGATGTATTTGGCCGTTTCTTCGTTATAAACATACTTTAATGATGTCATGTGCTGATCTGCGTTGAAAGCCAGGTTCTGGAGAAGGAAGCATTTCAAAAGCAGATGTTAGAAAAGCTCATATGGATTTGTTCTGTGATGCTTGTTGGAGCACGTCACGGAGGGGTTTCTGTTGGTATTGTGGAAAATGAATTCCGTTCGGAAGTAAGCTTTGTTATTCTCATTATCTCAAAATCATCATTTGCTTGGTTGAAAGACAATAAGCAGAAATGAACTGACTGATATTTGCACTTCCAGTTATGTAGCCTGATAGCAGAACTAGCATCAGCAGCAGCAAGTGAAAAGGGGTTAACAATTGAAGAAGCCATGGAAGAACGATTGTGTGCGTATTCGCGAGCCGTTGCTCACTTTCCTACAGCAGTTAAGGAGGTAAGAAGTTGAAATATTCATCATATTTGCAATGCAAAACAGTAGCAGACCGCTATTGAGAAAGTGATGTATTTTTTAATGATTAACTATGTTTGCAGTTCAAATGGAGAAATGGTTGGTTTTATTCTCTGTCTGAGAAAGCTACTGCCCAAGGCAAGCAGGATCCATGTCCTCTGCATACTCAATGGCTCAAAGAGTTGAAAGTTGTATAAAACATGTAGTTGAACAACTCTCATTCATGCGTCACTAGGTTTTCAGCTTCCAAAGAGTATATATTATGTTGTGTTTACTGGTATGTTTAGTAACAATCATGAGTTTAGTTCAGATAAGTGATTAAATTTGAAAAAATCTCGAGGATAATTTGTGCAGACAAATTCAAAGAAAAGCGTGTGATTGAATCTTAAATGTTTGAATAATGACACTGGCTTCCACACGTCTTGAATGTTGAAACTGTAGGAGAAAACTCCATCATGCTTGATAACTGTCTTTGAACTCTCTAACCGCTTATGGACGAAAGTCTTTGGTCGACCTCTATAGTGCTTCATCAACATCTGTAATTTGGTTGACTTATGGACTTTAAAATATACTAGGTCCCCAAAATCTAATATACGTGTCGAACTCGACCATTGTCGAAGTGTCAATTTGTGTAAAACCTCTTCAACATTTGGGACATTTTGATCATAATTTTTTGAATATGTTCTTAAGAATCTTCCAAGCCAGTCTTCGTGGGCATTAAAATACACTATGCCTCAAATCATAGGTCATTCATACCATTTTAGACAACATAGTTTGTAGTTGAAACCTTCGAGTGAGTCTTTTTATACTTAGTATTTTTCAACATGGTTATTACCATTCTTTGTTGACTTCTTCAACTAAAATTTTCAAGCTAATAGATGCTCCTATGAAATGCCACTTTCGATCATATGTATCAGATGAAAGAAATATGGTCTTTTTAGTAACTGCTCGATAATGTTCAAGATATCATGTACACGTCATAATCATCATGACTACTTTTCACCAAACTGTCACTGTCACGTCAAGGACGTGCGTGCACATTACCATTATCACTTAGATTTTCTAGGACAAATATGGATCATGAAATTAAAAGAAATTATTTAATTTATTTTTTTCAAAAAGTTAAATGCCACATATCCATTTTGAAACGACACTTGTCTAATTTTTCCGAGAAAGTTTTCCTATTTTTGGCTATTTATACGTCTTTCAGCATTTCTTTTCCTTTTTCGCCATATTCTTTCTCAGAATCCTAGAAATTTCTTTGAGCTCCCCGCAATTTTTGCTCTTGTTTTTCTCAAAAAAGTTTCTTTTTTTCCTCAAAAAGCTCTCAAGAATAAATAATGGCTTTCGATTCTCTTACTAAGCGTACACCGCAAGTTCCTTCAGCCGATAAACTCCAAGGTCTTATTCTTAGAGATGGTCACACCTATGTCCTAGAGCCTCCTATGCAAGAGAAAAAAACTACAATATGATTTTCTTAGGTATTAGTCCTTTACTCCCTTGCACCCACTACTTATGTTTTTATGAGTCTTCTACTTAGACCAACTAAGAAATCTCAAAACTTTGAAAATTTCTCCCATAATTTCTCATTGTGTGAATCTCTAGTGTTTAATGATTAACCTTTTAAAGAGTTGTTTGATCTATGTGATTTGTTTGATTTATGTCTAAAATTATGTCTAATATTTTGATTCTTAATTTTACATTTTTTATTATTATTGGTGAATAGATAAAATTATGTCAAAAATCTAAAACGGAAAATCTCTTATTAATAAACTTATCTTCAGTTTCACTCCTATCGATCTATCACTAATGGTAAAACCGATACATTTTACTTACACTACTATATAATTTTAAATTCATGGATAACTATTAATTAATATAAACATTTTTCAACTTTTAAAATAATTGAAATTAAAAGTTTTAATGATACATAAAGAAAGTATCTCCTTTCTATACTTTTTTTGTACATGAACTCATCAAAATAAATTCTATATCTTATTAATTTGTACCTTATATAGAAATAAATGAAATTAAATAAAAAAAACATATAGTATACACACACGTGTCACGATACCATTCAATGCATTTTCTATGTATTTTACTATTTTAATTTTAATTTCTATTTTCTTACATAGCAAAACCAAACATACTCTTCTGAACTCAACTCAATTCAACTCAAACCTCAGTCTCACAAATCACAAACAACAACACAACAACAACCTTAGATTCTCCGAATCACTAATTCTTTCTTTCTTTACTCTATAAAACAACAACATCAAACTCTTGTTTTTTTTCCTAAACTTGTTCTTCCAGATTTCATTTAGGTATGTTATATTTATACCCTTTTCTCTCTTCTCTCTTAGATCCTTTCAATTTCATTTCTTTTTTCTTGATCTTGTTTATGGACAAAATTAACATGACATTAGACTCCTTGCTTTTGAGATCCCAATTTCGTTATTTAGAATTTTAGATCCTTATTTTTACTTAATTTCCTGTTCATATACTTGACTTTTTACTTCAATTGTGTACCACATTGTTGGTGTTTGTAATTTTGTTTTTCATTGGATGCTTGTTTTCATGCTTGATTCATGGGTTGAATTTTCATGGAAGCTTCCTTTTTTTTTCAATTATTTACTTGATTTGTTAATTTAATGCCAACTTGTAATTATAATTTGTGTGACTTGTTCAATTTTTTTAATATGAAAAATTGGATCAGGGTCCCTTGTTTATTGATTTTATAGATTCTCACACGTTTGAAAATATCTTCTGGATGTTGACATTGTGTTAATCTTTTCTCCGAAACTAGTCATTCAGTTTTGTTCCTTTGTGAACCAATGAATGTTCAGTTACATGAAATTTTCTGAGTATAATCTTTAGGATTAGTTGTCCTTATTCAATAATTTATGCATGAGATTTGGGGGAGGATAGTGGTTATGATAGAATCTGTGTTCATAATGATTTGTAGACATGCCCTTTTTTTATAGGTATGTTTTTATGTAAGAATAAAAACCGATGAACATGTATGTTTTATTGGTTTTTGCTTTTTCTAGTGATTCTTCGTCTTCTGGTAATGGTGTTGGCGAGTTGACATGCTATTTATCTTCGTTTGTATGTGTGTGGTTGCGTGTTGAAGCTGCTATGAAGTTGGCTACTGTATACTTCAATTCTTGTTCACCTCGCGCGTGTTAGTTTTTAAACACGACTCACAATGTTCTTAAGGCGCCGAAATTTGTTATGTTGCTTGATGTTTTTCTCATCATTATTTGAGTTTTGTTTTATTCATTAGTTGTATACTTTTTCTGTTACGTGACATGGAAATTTATAGCGAACAACTATGTTTGCTTGATTTGATCACTAATTCTATACGTTTTGTGGATTTTAATTTTGAAATTTTCAGTATTGTTTCGACAGATTAACCTGTCCAGCCCCGGCTTCTGATAGTATAGTTGTGCTAGTTCTCGGAAGAGTTCTTCCCTAAGAGGTAGATGGGTTCTAGAATCCCATCTCATCAGCTTAGTAATGGCCTATATGTATCAGGCCGGCCAGAGCAGCCGAAAGAAAGGGTTCCAACGATGTCCTCCGCTGCCATGCCATATACCGGCGGAGACATTAAAAAGTCGGGGGAGTTAGGAAAGATGTTTGATATTCCTGTTGATGGCTCGAAGTCTAGAAAATCTGGACCGTTAACAGGTGCACCATCACGGGCAACATCTTTCGGAGGAGCCGGTTCACATTCCGGACCAATTCATCCTAATGCTGCTGCTCGAGCTATCTATACTACTTCAGGTTCCATGTCTATTGGTGGCGCGGCTGGTTCAACATCACAAAAGAAATCGAATTCCGGGCCACTGAGTAAGCATGGGGAACCGGTTAAAAGGTCTTCTGGTCCTCAGTCTGGTGGAGTAACACCAACCGGACGCCAAAATTCCGGACCTCTTCCTCCTGTTCTTCCGACAACAGGTCTCATTACATCGGGCCCCATTTCATCCGGCCCACTAAACTCTTCTGGTGCTCCTAGGAAAGTGTCCGGTCCTTTGGAAGCGACAGGTTCGATGAAGCTGCAAGGCTCTGCTGCTGCTGTTCACAATCAAGCTGTGACTGTTCTTAGTCAAGGTGATGAATATTCCTTCAGAAGGAACTTTCCAAAGGCCATGTTATGGTTATTAATTCTGCTTTTTGTCATGGGTTTCATTGCTGGCGGTTTTATTCTTGGAGCCGTGCACAATCCCATTCTCCTTATTGTGGTTGTGATTCTCTTTGGTTTAGTTGCCGCGTCTTTCACTTGGAACACTTATTGGGGAAGAAGAGCTATAATGGGCTTCGTTGCTAATTATCCGGACTCCGAGCTTAGAACTGCAAAGAATGGGCAATTTGTGAAGGTTTCCGGGGTAAGCTTTGTTTCTCTTGCTTAATTCATCGGCTATTATTAATGAATTTATATTCTCTAGGTCATATATGTTACAGTGCTAATTTCAAATGTTTTATTCACGCGTGACTTTGCGTTATAAACTATACTTCATCAGCTTTAGAGGTATTTTTTTTGTCTGTGGTACTATAGGTTGTTACTTGCGGTAATGTACCTCTCGAGTCATCTTTCCAAAAAGTTCCCAGATGCGTATATACATCAACAAGTTTATACGAGTATCGAGGATGGGACTCAAAAGCTGCCAATCCTACACATCGACGATTTTCTTGGGGCCTTAGACTGCTGGAAGTGAGTTACTTAGTTTTTGTCTCCGATGTCTTGTGATGAAATTTAAATAGTTATTGTTTTGAGAATATTACTTCTGTTTGACTCGATTACCCGAATGTGTCATGTGACAGAGGCGTGTGGTTGACTTCTATATCTCCGATTTCCAGTCTGGTTTACGGGCATTAGTTAAGACTGGTCATGGAGCTAGAGTGACCCCTTATGTTGATGACTCAAATCTCTTCCATGTAAATCCAACCAAAGAAGAGTTATCCCCAGAATTCCTCCGGTGGTTGGGAGAGAGAAATTTGTCCAGCGACGACCGCATCATGCGCCTAGAAGAAGGGTACTTTTCTTTTCTCTAATTTTCAAATATACTATCACATGTGTCAATGTTGTATCAGTGTCGGTGTCAGTGTCAGTGTCAGACACATGATTTGAAGTGTCAGTGCTACATAGAAAACATTTGATTTTAAGAGAAGATGAATGGTAATACAGGCACATAAAAGAAGGAAGCACAGTGAGTGTAATGGGAGTAGTTCAAAGGAATGAGAATGTGCTAATGATAGTTCCACCACCAGAGCCAATAACAACAGGTTGCCATTGGTTGAAGTGTATATTTCCTGCTAGCTTGGAAGGTATAGTGTTAAGATGTGAGGACATGTCAAAGACTGATGTGATACCAGTTTAAGAATATGTGGAGCTAAGAATGTTTGTAGCATCATCTAATTGGTTGGTGATTGTTAGATAGTATTCTTTTCCCCTCTATTATTAGTGCTGGTGGAATATATAAGATTGACACATTATTCTAGATTAAGATTTCAGCCAGAAATTTGTGTGTGTTTCTGTTTATTTTTTCATTCTCTTTAATTACTTGTGTATAGTTATGCTTGGATTCATGTTTTTCTAGGATATGTATACTTTCGTAATGTTTGATGCAACTCTAAATTCTTAAATGTGTATCAACTATATTCTTGTTTTGCTAACATGCTAACTTTTTATTATTAGGAATGTAATTTATTCATTCAATTTTTACTATTTTTTTTTTATGTAAAAATAGAAATCTTACATTTTAATGGGAATAAAAAACTATAAAAATAGAAAAGTATAGTTTGTTGATTTTTTTTATAAAAGTAAAATAACTTTATTTATAATTTCTAAAACCTTCTATGAGGGGGCCTAGTTCTTAGTGGACCATACTTTACCCTCCAAGTCAAGTATTAATTCTCTTGCATCTCAGAGAAAAATTATAAATAAATATTTTTCTCACCGTTCAAAATTAAAAATCTGAATTCACCACACGCTACAACAAATCAAGTTCATCATAAAAGCAATTACTATAAAAGAAAAGTTTGGATTTTAATTTACGTAAAGCAATTACTATAAAAAAGAGTTTGGATTTTAACCTACATACTCTAGTCAATTGAAATCATGATACATCCTTTTAAATAACATGATTCTTCTTTCCCTCTCCATTCCTTTACATTTAAAAATTAAGTAAAAAAAAAAACAACCTATAAAAAATTTAGATTCGAAAATCTCTCAATTTTTACTCATTTTCATTTAAATTAAGTCCTTTAATCAACTTTGGTCATTCATTTTTCACATTTGAAGATATCCGTGAATAAAGGGATAAAGTCAATAGTGAATAAAATCTTACATTTTCTCCATGCTTGGGGTGGTATATATGTATATATACAATGAGCGAATATTGTGCCTATATGACATTGGGTCTGTGGTCAATCCATAATAATTATTCCCAAGACTTGTCGTGGTATGATGCAAAGGAACTTTTTCAAAAAGGTGGGTTGGGTACCTTTGACCAAAATCTTGTATTGAGAAGTAGAAGAGACTTAGGGATAACTTCATTAAATGTTAGTCTAATCGTTGATACATTTCATTGTTTTTCTCCACACGTGGCCCTAAATTCATAGGTTAGGGTCTGACGCTTCTCTATAGGGTGATTGCGTGCATTCAAGTGATGTTATATTTTTGAGGTGTGATATTTACCATTGATTTTTCATCTTCCAATCCATTTTCTTTCATTATGCAATGTTGATTCGATTCATCTTATTCTATTAAATAAAGGTTTCCTTGATCTTTCAAACAATTTTCGTTCCCTCTCATAATTGAAATCTCACATTTCATTGCAACCCCTTTCTCTTTCTCATGCGTTTTGATAATTTATGATTTCGTCATCATTCTCTCTTATTTGGGTCCATTGTTTATGGTTTATCCCTATTATCAAGTTCCTTTTCCTCTTAGTTGTTCCTTTGCCTCACTTATTACTTAAAGTACTATTTCTAATCATTTTCTTTATATTTGTTCTATAGCTTTTTGTGTTTACGAGGAAAAACGTAGAAATTATTCTCGAAAATATAATCAATGAGTCTGATGGTGGAGATTATTCATTATCAACAATATATGAAAATTCTGATGTTCCAAATCTTAATCCCCTAGAAGTTCATGGCCTTAATCCTAGCCTTACTATGCATAATGATAACTTTCAATCTGGAGGGGTTTAAGTATAAAGTGGTGATAGAAACCCCCCCCCCCCCCCCCCCCCCCCCCCCCCAATGCTTCTACTAAGGGAAGTGTCGACGATTCTTTTAAAGAAGATGAATAGGGGAACTCTGATAACCTGGATTTGAGGGAGGTGGTTACCCATATTTCTTCATCTATCATATCTCATATGGATCTGAATGCGACTATAACAGCAAGAGGTGAGCGACAAGCTCACTATTTTCCCACTACTTTTAAGGCATCATATGTCCGAGACCTTAGTGACATAAAGATCAAGGATAATCTTATTTTTAGGAGTAGTGGTGTAGTTTTTGACTAACATTATATTTTTTATGACAATCGTGAAGAAATGGTTCAATGAGAACACACTGGCTTAGTGGAATCGGTGGATGCTCGTTTGAATCGCTAAACACGACTGATGCCCAAAAAAGGAAGGAACTATTTGATGAAGAGAGTAATTTTACTTTATACTTGCTTTTGATATTTCTTGGATGTCTACTAACTATTTTGTTCTTTTTGCATATATATTGGTGTCTGTCATGAGTCTTTTTCATAGAAAAAAAGGCCAAAATGATAGTTGGTGCGCTCCAACCCCTTTTACCCTCTCCATTCAAAACCAGCCAAGTCACTATAAACAATATGAAAGTTGGAGTAAGAGGTATAATGATTAACCATCTCTGACGAACAATGGTAATAACAAGCAAGGTCAACAAAATCTTGTTAATTAGGAAAGACCATACAAGATGCCTAAGTCTTCTGGCTCTAGCGTTGTATGGGATCACTCTTGCTACTTCTACTTTCCTTTCTTAGGCACCTCAGACTTCTCGAGAAGTATATTCCCGTGTCATTGAACAAAATGCCTCTTACATTCAAACCCATATGAGACCAATAAACTATAGTTGATAGCGAATATCGTATTTCACATGTTCCGCAGTGCCTCCTTGATGACTCTTGCAGTTGTTGACCAAGGGGAAATACTTGCTCTAGGTAAACCTTCCAAAGAGAGTAAGCAACGAAAAAGTATGAAGTTGTTGTCAACAAGCAGATTGTCCTTTAAAAAAAGTGCTTGAGCTTCAAAATTACCAGATAGGCTACAAATGAAAGTGAAGAATTTGGTTGATCTTGAAAAGGAAGTGGATGCCTATGGTACCCCTTTCGACTTGGCTTCCAAGATGACCATTCTACTAGTATATTCTCCTCCAACGGATTTACCTAAAAAAGTAAGAGATTAAGCGCACAACGAACATCAAAATTTAACATAACAATCCTCACTAATATGAGATTGTGATGGTTTGGTATTCCATCAACTTATTATTTATAAAAGGATAATATGGTTATTTTATTATTCCAAGATTTCATTCCATGACAGCTAGTTAGATTAATTATCTGTCATAACTTTCTTTATATGGGATGATTTACCGCCTGCTCGAAGACTGAGGGCTCATCGGTGATGATATGAATGCTACCATATGACTCCACTTTATTGATTTTCCTCATCCAAAAGTGTTGATAGGAAAATTCTCTTGATATTGGGGATGAAAATTGAAACCATACCAAGTGGATACTTGCAAAAATACCCATTACGAGCGGATAAAAACTCGCAAAACGGGTACAAGCATGAGTGTGAGTTTTAATGTGGGTACGAGTACGTTAATATATATATATATATATATATATATATATATATATATATATATATATATATATATATATATATATATATATATATATATATATATATATATATATATATATATATATATATATATATATATATATATATATATATATATATATATATATATATATATATATATATATATATATATATATATATATATATATATATATATATATATATATATATATATATATATATATATATATATATATATATATATATATATATATATATATATATATATATATATATATATATATATATATATATATATATATATATATATATATATATATATATATATATATATATATATATATATATATATATATATATCAAACTATTACGTTTTTAATTTTTAATATAAGTATTTGTTTATTTCATGATTCAACGATAAAATATTTATTTTTTTAGTATTATTTAAATCTTAAAAATGATATAATATTTTTTAATTGATCATTTTATTTCTACTAGAATTGGAGGTAACATGTACATGTATAAATACTTAAGTATCCATAAGCTACAAGTATGAGTACAAACATTTATTCTCACATGAGTATGGACTCAGATACGTGGATTTTTTCAAATCGTGTGTATGAGGATGAGTATCGCAGTACTCTGACCAAACCTTGGCCATACCTGAGATGTGTAAATTTCGAGGGTGTTTGTAATGGTGAGAAGGTCGTCCCATCGGTTGAGAGTTTCAGTGAACATGATGGTTCCACTCAACAATTCCTTTAGTGTTCTCTCTCTCTCTCTCTCTCTCTCTCTCTCTCTCTCTCTCTCTCTCTCTCTCTCTCTCTCTCTCTCTCTCTCTCTCTCTCTCTCTCTCTCTCTCTCTCTCTCTCTCTCTCTCTCTCTCTCTCGTTAATGAATATGTCATTTGCCTAATTTTCTCTTGATTGAGTTCTAGAGTTTAAGAACCAGACATGACTTTTCAAGCCTTGATCGCGTGAAACGCTTAGGATAGGTCGTCTAGGCATTTGACAACGGACAACTATTTAGATTTGGTATGTTGTATCGTGTTCCATCCCCGAGGTTCAAACCATTTGCCTTATGTGCTTTTTCTACTTTTTAATAACCTCAAATTTTCTTTGAACAATCATTGAGAAGTCTCAGAAAAGGTCATTAGTTTCTTGGTTGGGAGACAATTTTTTTTACTTGCATGTGATTAGAGGTCATCATTAGACTAAAGGTAAAGTGGAAACATTTGCGAAAATTTTCCACAAATAATGCCAAATAATTTGGATAGATATTTATCTTCGAGTATAGATGATGCCAATAGGGTGATAACAAACTCCAATACGAACCTCCTCTGTGTATGATCTTTGATAGTAGATAGTGAACCTATGAACACTCTAACGATCAAGTTAGTGATGACCGCAAGTGTGAGATTTATGATTTTAAAAAATGTATATTTAAAGTAATTCATTAAACATTATAATATGAATCTAAAACTTTAAACGGATTAGAACTTTCTCTAAGATATTTGTCCTCCAAAAAAATATGTAAATTTTAACATCTAACGATCTTCAAATATCATAGAATCCTGATTAAATGTGTCTCTAAGATATATTTATATCATAATTCGTCTTGTTTCCTAAAAGATAAGTATCCTATTTCTCTCTAAAAGAATTGTTTATTGATTAATTTATTTTATATATACATATAAATAATTAAAATAATTGTTTTGATTTTATTTTCTCATTTTTGTCCTTTTTTTTAATGGTGAAATCGGGGAGATAACAAGAGAAAATAACATGAAGAGAAAAAAAGAAAAAACAGAAAGAAAAAAAAAAAAAGAGAAAAAGTGAAATTTTGAAGTTTTGACAGATGATTGAATTCTTCCGATTGTATTGACGGTGAATGACATGGTTCGGCCGTCGGTAAAAGTCGGTTCCGCGAAATTGGTTCTGATCTGCGTTGCTCTTCTAGGTTTTGCTCTCATTGCCGATTTTCTCTGGGCTTCTTCTTCCCCTTCTTCCTATTTCTCTGTTTCCAATTCCAAAACTTCAACCACCATCACTGTTCCCAAAGAGAAGAAGAAGAAAGATAGTTCTGTTAGATTGCTTGCAGATGCTTATGCAGATTTGCCTGGTCCTCAACTCACATGGCAAAAAATGGCAACTTCGCCTGTTCCTCGTCTTGATGGTGCTGCTATTCAGATTCGAAATCGTCTCTTTGTTTTTGCTGGATATGGCACCATTGATCTTGTAATACTCTCCTTTTCATTCTCTTATCAATTTCTCTGTTATTGCATTCACTTACACTTCAAAGAGATGCTTTTGATATGTAGCTTAGTGAAGGAGGTCTTGAATAAAGGTCTTTTTGGATAAATAGCTTGATTAAGTGTTTATCATATAAGTGCTTTTTTACAAGCTATTTCAATACTCAAAGATTGAATATTGCTAAAATTGTTTTCATATAAGTTATAAGCTGTTTTGTTAAGCTATTGTTGAGAGCTTATTGAAATAAGGTGAAAACAGTTTATGGATATATCATAAGCTATTTTCATAAGCTCTCTAGAACACTTGTTAAGCCTAGATTAGTTGTTCATGAGCAAATCCTAATGTTGCCTAAGTGTGTATTGTATATAAGAGATTTTGTGTTTAAGTTGTTTCTAATAAGCTTAGTTAAGCATGTATAGAATAAGTGTTTATTGTATATAAGAGATTCTGTGTTGAAGTTGTTTCTAATAAGCTTAGTTAAGCATGTATAGAATAAGTGTTTATTGTATTAGATGAGCTTTTATGCAAAAGCTGTTTCAGACAAGCTTTTATTGTATAAGAGCTAAGTTGTTTCTCAAGCCAAGCTTTTATTGTACAAGGGCTTTTATGCATGAGTTATTTCTAACATTGAGCTTTTATCGTATAAAGATTTCATGTATAATAAGTTTTTTTTGACATTGAGGAGGTAATGAGAGTAAACTGAGTAAGATGAAAATAGCTACGAATTTAAGCTACATGGAGCATAGAGATATCATGAACTTTTTCCGTATGATCATCAAAACACTTACACAAGTGCTTAATTAGCCCTACATATTTAGCCCATATAAGTTCTTCCAAGTGTGTTTGAGTGTATTTTATATTATTCTATTGTGTTTTGCAGGTACATTCTCATGTTGATATATATAACTTTGATGATGGAACATGGGGAGGACGCTTTGACATGCCAAAAGAAATGGCACACTCACATTTAGGAATGGTGACAGATGGAAGATACATTTATATAGTTACTGGGCAGTACGGCCCGCAATGTAGAGGTCCCACCGCTCGTAACTTTGTACTTGACACTGAAACAAAGCAATGGAACGATCTCCCTCCTTTGCCAGTCCCTAGGTATGTATATATGAATGTATGTACTTATTCTCTCCAATTACCACAGCATATATGTTTATTTATTTCTGTTTCATTGCAATTGACATGCTTCAAGTTGTCACCTTAAGTATGATATCAATATCAAAGATGCTCCTCCCCCTTCAGTAGCTCTTTATGTTGATTTAGGAAGTCGTAAAGACTCGTTCTATCAATCACTTGCATATTTTAGTTATTAAGAAAGAAATTACCAATGCTGAATCGTGATCTCCCATGAATATCATGATAGGGAAGTTGGATAAGCAGAGGTGTCTGAAAAGTCCATCTCATATTTGTTCATCAAAATTATTTTCTACTAATTGAATTGGGAAGTTGAAGTTTCAAAGAAGTAATGAGAATATAGGCAAAAACACATAAAAAGGAAGAGAAGTGGGACTAGACATATAAAATTAAATTCATAATAACATTTATATTGATAAATTTATCATGCAAGATAACATTTATATTGTTAACTACTCTGGAAACTGAATAGGCTAAGCTTAAAAATATCATTCTTTCCAGTTTCAGTCAGGTATCGCTAGTTTGACTTCTGGTGGATGTAGAGGGAATCCTGGAAAAACATTTAAGGTGCAGTTTGATCCATTTAGTCCGCCCCGCTTAGTAGCAATTGGCTTTTGTCTGTTGTTTTTGTCCACTTGTCTGACCTATTTTTTGGCTATAAAAAAAATGATCATAGGATCTGTCTTTAGGCGTGATTTGCTGGGATATCGTGGTGTTTGTTTGATTCATGTAGTTGATTCTATCTAGTGGAAAAAGGCTTATTTTTCTTGTTGCTTACTAGTCTGATTCCATGTACGTAATTTTTCTTGTATAGGATTTTGTGTGGAAGATTTTGATAATATTGTACTCAATTGTAGATATGCACCAGCAACTCAACTTTGGAGAGGTAGATTGCATGTGATGGGTGGCAGTAAAGAGAATCGACATACACCTGGATTAGAACATTGGAGTCTTGCGGTCAAGGATGGAAAAGCATTAGAAAAGGAGTGGAGAAGTGAAATACCCATTCCTCGTGGAGGACCTCACAGGTTACACTAATTGATATGATGAGTACTGCTGTAATACTATACATATAGAAGTAACATATTAGTAGCGATATTTTTGTTTTATTATAGCAATAAAAATATTGATTAGAAGTTAGAAGAAGTATATATAAATAATGGTTCTTTTCCCAAACCAGGGCGTTTGACTACTATTGTTATCTTTATTTTTTTGCTTTACATTTTTATCTGTTTCACGGAAAGCCACATCTTCATAACTTTGAACTATTTTGGTTTGGTCATAAAAACGTCATTGCTTCCTTTTTAACTCTCCATTTGTTTTAATTTCTACAGTGGATATATTACATTCCTAATTCAGTGTCCTTTATGATATATTTTTTTTGGAGTGTGGCAACATGGCAGCTTATTATTTTTTGTTGTATTTACTTGTACTATTATCGTCTGTCATTATGTTCACTTATCCTTTACGATTCATCTAAATTGTGTGCTGCAAAGTTCAGTAAATTGTGTAGCACTGATGAATGGAGCTTGATAATGTTTTTCAAGAGATTAGGGTATAAAATTTAGATATATTAGAAACCACAGACTTGTCGATTGAGTCCAACACATCTCAATCTAGATTTACTTATATTCACTTTCTTATGTGAATGCCACCATGCATATGTTACTGATAAATATCATATTTTAGGGCTTGTGTTGTGGCCAATGATCGTCTCTATGTTATTGGTGGTCAAGAAGGTGATTTTATGGCCAAACCTGGGTCACCTATTTTTAAGTGTGCGCGCAGGATGGAGGTAAGTTGCAAATATAACTGTTATGGTTCTTGTCTTACTTAGCATGATTGTGATCAACCCAATCTTCTTCTATGGCTATGTTCCATAGTTCTGTGACTCATCGTTTATTGTCATATCAGGTTGTCTTTAGCGATGTTTACATGTTGGATGACGAGATGAAGTGGAAAGAGCTACCACCAATGCCAAAACCAAATTCACATATTGAATTTGCGTGGGTGCTTGTAAACAATTCGATTGTTATTCTTGGAGGCACAACAGAAAAGCACCCTGAAACCAAGAAAATGGTTTTAAACGGAGAAGTGATCCAGTTTAACTTGAATACTTTGGTATTGACTTCTCTTATAAAGTTCTTAGGAATTTTGTTTTTGTTGCCACAAATTTGTTCATACTCAATCATTTATGTCAACTAACATTCTTATATGCATCATACTATGTTATTTGTGTATCTGATAGTTTGCTTTCAATGTTATCAACTTTGCAGAAGTGGTCAGTGATCGGAAAATTACCATACCGAGTGAAAACGACCTTAGTAGGATTTTGGAATGGATGGCTGTACTTCACTTCAGGACAGAGGGACAAGGGACCCGATGATCCATCACCAAAAAAGGTCATTGGAGAAATGTGGAGGACAAAATTAAAATTGAATGAATGAGCAATTGCTGCGGAAACTTTTTGCAGCTTCTTTATTTGATATCCAAAAGTTGCAGCAGAGGGGAAGAGGTCAAAATGTTACATATTCTTTGTCGCTAGAATGTTCATTGTTGTAATTCACTGAGAATGACTAATTCAATTCAACATTAATAGTTGTTGTTACAGACCTTATTATACAAAAGGAAAAGTTGCACTCACCTTTTTTGAGGAATGCTTATATGATGGATACTAATATATTACTAATGAACAATGCCAAAAGTTTTTACAATCTTCATATCTCTTTCTAATAAGTAGTTGCAGTTAATACATGTAAATCAATAGATTTTTTCTGTATTTACAATAACAATACTATAACAAGCAGTAAAAGACACTACATAATGGTTATGTGATTGAAAATACATTGATGAACTATACTGCACATTACATACTGGTCTTAACAAAGAGCACATGACATGAGATTCATTGTCTCCTTAAGTAGGGATCTGGGTTGTATACAGTCACATCTAAATCGTCGATCAAGATTTCAAGCTTGGTATTTTAGATTTAAAGCACAAACATAATCTGGATCGAAATCTGGACTGTCCAGCCTTTATAAGACGCTTCTGTGTGCAGCCGTACTATACACAATCTGAATCTGTTGATTAATCCTAGAGTTGAAGCACAAGCTCCACATGAAAGAGCTCTTTATCAAACCCAAGTCCAGTAGGTTCAACAGGCTGAACTAAACCATCCACCATTCCACCAAACACATACAAATAACGACCAGAAGGATCTATGCAGGCACGATGAAACGATCTAGCTAGCCTTAGGTTCATATCCATTTGATTCCAGTGTTCCACATTCTTGTCAGCACTATCTTTGAACTCGCTCCGGTTGAAGGAATAGAACTAATATCTAATACCCAAAAGTCATTTTTCCTATGTCTTGATGAGTCTTCTCCTCCATAAATTAACAACCTACCTCCTAAAACCGTTGTAGCAGTGTGACCAACTCTAGGAAGTGAAACACCATCTGGTATATTTTGTAAATCATAAAGTACTTGAATCCATCTCACATAACCTTGACAAGTATCCAATAACCAAACATCATGAAGCACTTCATAACCTAAACCTCTACCTCCAAATAGTATAGTCCTATTTCTTGCAACGCAAGTTAACGTATGTCCTGAACGTGGGGGGAGGCGATGGATGGATTGCAATCTCAATCCATGTACCGAAACAATGACTATCTGATAACTCTAAGATCCACGTGTCCCCTAAACGGAGGCCGTTAAGTCCGATTCCTCCATGGATTACCATTCTTTTACCATCAATACAACAAGCAGCATGAGCTCCCCTAGGAGGTGGAACAACACTCCCAACATCTAGCATTTTCCATGAAAATGTAATGCTTTCGTTTTCATTGTGTGTAAGTTTTCCAATCCATGTATCATTTTGACGGTTTCCATGATCATTAATGCCTCCAAAGAGAACAAGGAAATCACCCATTTCCACACATGTATGACCAAATCTTCCACTTGGAATGCCTGAATGAACTGTCTTCCATTTCAATATTTTCTGGAAATCATTTCCAATGTATGCCACCCACGTGTCATCAAGATGTCGGCCTAAAACAAATCACGAACAAATATATTATACACTAGCACATAACTACTCGACTTTTATTCTTTGCAACCTCTTTAGTGAAACATCGGCCATTTGATCAATCTAACTGCTGAAACTATTGTATCTCTTATGTTAGACTAATTCCATGGTCGAGATTTTGTAGGAATCAAATCCCGAACTCTACATTTTTGTTACTCAACTGTCACAATTGTACAATTTTGGTCCTCGTGTTTCAATTGCGCAAACACAATCCTCTATAAAGCTAATTATTACAATCAGGTCTTCCCTCTATTAACTAGTCTAATTTTTAACGCTAAGAGCCTACATAGCCAATGCAAGTCTAAGTTAGCGTTGACTTAGAAATTAGACGTTTTTATAGAGGAAAGACCTAATTGTAACAATTTTGATATCTAACAGACTCACGTCACACAATTAGAACTTGGATCAAAATTGCATAATCGTGACTTCCGAGGACTAAAACTGCAATTAAGCATTTAAGTATAGTTTTTTTTTTGTTTAAGTCCTTTCTTTTTAGGGTAAAGAACTTGTCTCTCATTATCAAAACTAGGTAACATGATAAACAAAAAAAGAAGATAAGATTATAATATTTAATCATAATCTAGTCTAAAACAAGAAACCATGTGAATCACTTATAAAGATGCACATCACAACATAACAATAGCCCAAAACAAATATGGAAAGAGAAACTAAAGAGAAACTAACCTCCATCAGAGCCACCACCAAACAAAACAAGACAATCAGAAACAAAGTTGAGAGAGTGAGAAGCTCTTGCTTTAGGGAAATCCAAATCTCCATGAGGGTATGACAATTTATGGCAACAAACAGAATCAATCTTGTATACTTGTTTGTAGAGTTTCATCCATGAAAATTGATGAACATGGTGATTGGAATTACAAGAGTTGAGTAATGAATCCACACATGTGGAACCTAAGTCTCTCTTGCATAAAGATTTCCACAGTGTGTCAGATGAAGTTATAGCTTTGAATCTCTTGCAAGTCATAGATAGAGAAAGAACTGCATCTATAGGAAGTAAAAGGATAATAGTAAAGATGTAATCTTGAGGTATGTTGGTTATTGGTGATCCACTATAATTATGATTACAATAACTAACACTAGTGGTTTCTTCCATGTCTGGTTTTTTTGTTGAACTTAACTATTGTTTGTTGGAAGAACAAAAGTTTATGTTTTTTCTGGTTGGCTTGTGTTTGACAGAAGACAGAGAAAAGGGTTTGCTTGAGGTAGATGGTGTGGTAGATTAATAATTGAGAATTGGTAAAAACTGGTTTTTGTTGATTTTGTATAGTAATGTGTCATGTTGAAGATAATGGTAAAAAAAATTGGTGTATAAAGATTGATTTTTGATAGGTTAGTGGGGTGCCCATTTTTTCTTGTCGTTTTTATGGAATTATTATGAGTCTTGGTTTTTCTCTCTACATGTTTTGGCTTGTTTTGTAGCATGTTTATTTTGTTAGGATAAGACAAGAGTTTTCACTTTGATTTCAGAGAAACAAAATTTGAATGAAAGAAGGAAATAAAAATCTCTGACACTGTCAAAACATCATTGTGCATGGATACTATATGTGATATGAAAGCTTTTGTTTTGCCATAGATAGTGAAACTAAAATTTACAGTGTGGTTTGAAATGTGGGGTTTTCTTGACTAAATTCCCATCAATTTATGAGGTATAATAGACTTTACCTACACGTTAAGAAGGTCATGTTCTTGCTTTTAATTTAGGTTGCCACCTATGATTAGTAGAGTTTGGATTGACCAATGATAATCATTGGAAATTTGGAATGGATCAACTACAATATTTTGATGTAAACTAAGTATTTTTTGCGTGCCAACGCACCGGCTAATCACTCGAGTAGGAGAAAAATATAATGGATGACAGAATTCTTCATCAACAAATTGGATGCTAATCACCCGAGTAGGAGAAAAATATAATGATGACAGAATTCTTCATCAACAAATTGGATGCTAATCACTTGAGTATGAGAAAAATATAATGGATGACAGAATTCTTCATCAACAAATTGGATGACAAAATTCTTCGTTATTAAATTTAACACCGAAAGAGATCTCGTTAATCTGAAAGAGATCTCGTTCGTGTCATTCACAAGTACTCTTAGTTCGGTTCAACTGCCGTAGCATCTTTGGATCTGTCCAATAAAGGCAGAACGTGCTTATTGTTATAAAGAAGGTTTTCTTATGACAATGGACCCTCAAGTAATGGCATGTGTGAATCACTTTATCTTTGGGATGTTTAAATTATGACAATAGACAGAAAGTAAGTGCATCCGTGAATTAGCTTATCTTGAATAAGTTTTAGAAAACATGTGAAAAGAAAGTCTTTTTTTTTTTTTTTTCAATTTAGAATATTTGGAAAACCACAGTGCATTAATTGGCTAGCAGCATTTTAGTTTTAGAAAATTTAAGCCAAATATAGCTTAACCCATTTTTAATTCACATTTTAACTTCACACATGGAAAAGAAAGAAAACATACTACTTATTTCTTCTGAGTTCTGGTATATTATTTCTAGTTTGAGACAAATGGATTTGGTGCAGTCAACAGCCACTACAGTCAATGATCTTGGTCTGAAGATCAGACGGTTAAATTCAAATTTCTGATTTGCTGAAATCACAACGTACGTTATCGAACGGTTTAGATCGGCAGACTGTAGTGACTGCAGAAATTATTGACAGCAGCGAATCCAGGTATGTCTCATGGCCTACCAGCCTTAAATATATATCGTTGCAGTATATGATACAATTTCTGGTGCATGTCAGCCACCTTAGCAAAAAAGTATAAATTAATGTGTCCAAAAAAATCAAAGATTAGAAGCTCGCGGGGTTCGGAATGTTCAATCTTGCCTAATCCAGTCAAAGAGAGAGGATAACATTAGGCGCACTCGACTTATTTCTGCAAATCAATGCCTTATTTATGAAGATTGCACACTTTTCCTATGTGTATTAATTTCTGAAGAGCAGCTTTAGCTTCTTCTAATGTTTCAACACTCTGTCCTTCATCAAATGATATCCTCTGAATGTTGAACTGCATACAAGACATTAAACAATACTAAGAAAAAAACAGCAGCTGCAAAAATTAGATAGGCAAACTAACAGTTGTAATAAAAGCTTACCTGGGCACCTTGACGAACCCTAATATCAGTCCCCTTGCTGTCGATAGATATGAGTGCTGCATCATCTACCTCAATCTCATTAGATAGTAGTTTCTTTAGGGGCTTTGAGAATATGGCATTGAGTTCCTATTGTTTCAAAAATAAAACCAAACAATGAAGTGTTATAACTCTGAAAGAGATATAGAACCTGTTTGAATAAACAACTTATTGGCTGCTTATAGTATAAGTGCTTATCAATATAACGCTTATGTATAAGCTATTTTTATAGCAAATGATTAAATGATCTTAAATTATGTTTGTAATGCTATAAGCTGTTTTCTTAATATATTTTGGAAAACTTATGAAAATAAGTTGAAAAAAGCTTATAAAAAATGTCAGAACTGCTTTTACAAATTCACCCTAACAGTGTCACTAAAATTATGTTAGTAGATAAATTCAGATAAGCTAGTCCAAACATGCCCATAGTACTTGTGTAGCTCAGTAACATTGGTTTAGTTACAGAAGCTGTTAACATCAACTGTATCAGTTTGTGATGGTTAAATGTTCAGAGACGATTAACTGTTTTAAGTTTTTAACAGTTCTCTCCACCAGTAGATTAGCCCTTATAAATGCCAGAACTCAAACACTGAGTTCTATATAGTACGAAAGACAGAGTTTGTGAGAGTTAGCTCTTTGGTAATCTGGCTTGTTTCACTCTTTCACTTTCTCACGGATTCCCACACTCCTTCAATTTCTCACTGAGTCACTAACGCTGAGATTCTTTTACTCAAGGACAGGTTTTAGATAATCATATCAACAAGTATCTAAATGGTGCAATGTCGTTGCAAAATATTTGACTGAAACAGCTAGACTTGGACATCAACATAAGCTTGGTTTGAGGGTTATTTTCTGGGAGGGAGAAATAACTAATAAGGGTTAGGACTCGGGAAAATAAAATTATTAATCTACAGTATGTAAGACATTAGTGAATAAAAGAAAACAAGCAAGGGCTAACTAGTAAACGTATATAAACATCCCGAGTGAAGCACGGGAATATCCATTTAATTATGCATCCATCACCGCTATCCAGCTACTATGTTTAAGAAGCTATAATCTCCCTTCCAGAAGCCAAACCATAATGTTCTTCTAAATGGAGTAGAAAGAAATAATTTGCGTTAGAATTCAGAAAATTTACCTTCAGATATAGCTCACCGCCATCAACTGCAATCTTATCAGGTTGAAGGGTTTCATAATCTTTTACATCCACCCAAGCAACAGTACCAAAGCCTCCAATGAAATATATGTCACTGCCAAAAACAAAATATGATTTAATTATGTTTAGGCATGCAAGTTTCCAAATCAAACAGCAAGTAGAATTTGTATTTCCAATTCTGCATGGATTCTATGGTTCGTGAGTTCTGTATATTATCTTACAAATAATTACTCCTTCTGTCTTAAGTATAAGCAAAAGTCAAAATGTATTAGGTCCAAATTTAAACCAAATATAATGACTATTAATTATATTTAAGACTGTAGGGAGTATATAACTTTTTATGGGAAGCTTCAACGGAAAACAAAAAGTCCTATACATGAACTCGATGCTTCACCAAACCCCAAAAATATGATTGTTTCGTGACTAATTGAAAAACATGCTTCTTTTGTCAAACTCTACCATAACAGGTCCTTTATTGTCAAAATATAAACCAGACCAAAGTAAATTGCCCCAAAAAGTGTTTGCAGCAAGATGTTTTGTTCAACACAGTATACATAGAAAGTAGCCAACCTTATATTCTGCATCCTAAAGTAGTAGAAGTTGCCCCACTGTTGAGAAGGTCCCTGATGGTGCTTTGCAATATACTGCTTATGTGCCCATTCCTGTTGGTACAATTTGGTATTATGATATATGTGAAAATAAACCTCAATTAGAAATATAAAATGCACATTTTCTGACCCGCAAAAATAAATCAATCAGTAAATAACCTGTTGATCTTCTGGAAGCGGATAAACATCCCCAAAAATAGTTACTCTTGCATTGGACAAACCACTCCATCCAGGTATCTAATAAACATAACTGTCAATAAAACTCAGATAGAGAAAAACAAGAAACAGAATATAAAAGCTCATATAGGAAATATCAAATAGAAAACCTGAACAACAAGTGTGCATCTTGGGTCAGCCAACAAATTCCTTGTGTGAATTGCAAGAGGAGAAAATGAGAATATTGGATCTGCAAAACAAGAATACAAGACATGTTTTTAGATAAATACTATTAAGAAACAAGTAAAACTATAATGGTTCAACAAATCCTACCGACCTATAACCTGTCAAATTAAGTAGTGATCAGCATGAAACAAATTTCAGAAGTGAATCAAACTATCTAGCTTATGTAAAGGAGAGGAACAAATGGAACCACCATACCGGCATACATCCAGGGGCACTTCAGAATGAACGAATATTTGAGGTGGGCTGTTAACTTTCAGTTATTCTTTATTTTTGTGTATACTTATGCTGTATCATTAATTGTCATTTGGATTTATATTCTCATTATAATCATAGCACATGTTTATGGTAGTAGTAAGATAGGTTGAATGAGTGTAGTGGGATGCATATGTGTGAAAGGAGAGGCAGGAGATGAACTGGGAATGTAAGAGTAGAGTACCCATTCGAGAAGATGTGATGGGAAAAGTTTGTAAGAAAAGAATGGGAAATGGGAAGGCTGTAACATGGATGGCTATTACATGTCTGTGTGAAGTTACCAGAAAGGGTGATGGTAAAAATCAATGCTTTAAAAACTGAACCTGACCATCTGAAACTGATCAAATGTTCAATTCATTTAACCCAAAAAAAAAACAGTAGAATTGGTGCAAAATCAGTGATAAAGAATTAGTTTGAACCGTCCAAGACAATTTATAAAGGTCCATGCACATGAACTTTCATAATTGGTTTTTCTTTATCTCAAGAATCATATTGTATAACCATTTTGTGTTAATACATCACTTGTACATAATATTATAAATATGTACTATGCATCACCCCTTTGTTTGACCATAGTTGAACTATTCAACGTGAGTTCAAATGTGAACCAGTGCCTTTATCGGTTCAATGACCGGTTCGATTTTTATAATATTGGCAAAAATAAAAGGGGAGGAAGAGAGAACGAGATAGGGGATGAAAGGCTTGGGCAGGCTGGAGTATTCTGCTCGGATGCAAAATCTCCAACGTATGTTTTCTTTTGCATTTTAGTTTAAGCAGAGGGGTTCTACAAGTAAGTCTGTCTACTTTCTACCCAAATCCCCAGCTCTTACCATATTCTCACTCTTTTCTGAGCAAGAACAAACCTGGATTGGAATCATCTATAATCACGCCCAATTTACAACTATTTAGGTATCTGTATTTCATTAACTTGGTATCCAGATACTACGATTGCGAGAACCAGTTATCAAGAATGTTACATATCTAGGATTGCGAGAACAAGTTATCAAGAATCTTACATATCTGGAACTGGACCAGTGTCCTAAACAACTAAATCCATATGCATAAAATATTCCTAAGTGAATAGGAAAATCCAATCAAGCAAATTAAGAATTATCAACTTACGGCCCATCGAATCCGGTGCAAAATCAACCAAAGAACCAAATGGATATCCTTCTCGTCGGTGGTGCATTCGAGACATTACAGTGCAAAGATGAGCAAATCTGGCCTTGAATTATACAAGGAAAAAGCATTTGAAAATCAATAAAGGTATTCCATGAATGAAATCAGAGCTAGGTTCAGTTCTACTGCTGAATAAATACAATAATCACCAGATTACCTGCTCCATCAAATTGCGAACTGCTAAAGCAGGTCTAGGCAAACCATGGGCCGAGGTTGCACTCTGGACACCACCAGAAATCGGAGTTCTGAAAAGTCCAGCCCGTGTACCCCCACCCGACCCACTTCCTCCCGGAGTCGTAATAGTTGACCATGACATGCCTGTTTGTATTGGCTCATGTGCATCATCATTATCATCAGCAGCAGCACTCT